GGAAAAAAAGTTAAATTTTTACTGTTATTAGCAAACTGGAACTTTTATTTTTATTTTTTTAGGAATTTTTCATCAAAGAAATATATTTTTCAAGGCAGTAAAACGAAATTTTCGTTTTACTGCCTTGAAAAATGCACAAAAATTTTCCGCCATCAAAAAATTCTAAGATTTTGCTCAAACTATACTTTGTCCAAAAAGTTTTTAACTATCTGAGAAGTCAGTGAAAGCTAGACCATTGATTTACATAAGGAAATAGCCAACTCACTTTCCAATGCACACTCGTAAAAAAGAAACACTTGCTAATTTCCTTCAGAAAAAATATGGGAAGTGCTGCAACAATTACCGCCAATTTTTCAAAAATTCCGGTCTTCGAAAAAATATTCCTGGATAAAAGCATTGCTTAACAATAAGATAAATGAGGTATATAAAGCAGGATGACAAAACATACATTTAGATATATTAGTAAGCCATTTTCAATAGCTTGATGAAGAAGGCTTAAATGTGTGTGCCCAGTGCTCTGATTTGATAAAATAGATAAAATTTCACTAGTTTAGTTTAAAAATAATACACCTCTTCTGTTTGAATGCAGCAGCAACATTAACACTTGGAAATTTGTTACAATTCAAGGCCAAACTTTGCAAATGACAAGAGGTTCAGATTCATTTTAATTTACAGTGCACTTGTGAAAATTTTTCAGTAAGTACACCTATTTTTTAAACTCTTTTTCTCATCAGTGAAATCAATAAAAAGAATATATCAATGCAAATATCACAGGCAGTCAGTGTGGGAATCCCATGTTAGTAATATTACACAAATAATTGAGACAAAAAATAAAAAGGAATTCAAAGTCAGAAGTCAAAAGCCTCTCCGCATTTACATTCTGTAAGAGGCGGATGCAATCGGAAATATCCCGTTTAAAGAGTACCAACAGCAACCATTCGCTGACAAGCCTATCGATGACTCTCTCTTTCAAAGGTTGCTTACAAGCAAGCTGATGGTTACTTTCATAACTTTACTTGAAAAATAAAGTTTGCTCCAGAATTCGGCATCTTAGTTTGCAAATTTCCGAAACTGGGTCGTATGGATCAGATCGCAAACATACACACATGGGACTCATAAAAAAAAGTTGCAGAAATTTTTTTTAAGAATTGAAAAGATTGATAAGCGATCTGAAGGGAAAAGTCAACAAAACAAACATGCCGACGTGATGCCTTACAACCTAAGCGATGGTTCAGCGGAAGCTGATCTTTACACCTTTCCTCCATGTTTCACACCTTCGAGCATTGTTTGTGCTTTAACCGTTGTTCCAGCATCTACTAAACCAGATGACATTTATTTAAACTGATATATTGGCGTGATCCAGA